GTTTATGATCCCACCAGTCCTTTACTACTGTCAGGTGGGACTTGTGACATAAGCTCCAATGAATCATTTGGGCCACAGAGTTGTGCCTCTGTTTGTGGTCCGTTATTATTATTATTATTATTATTATTATTATTATTACTACTGCTACTGTTGTTGTTCATTCATTCAGTCGTCTCCGATTCTTCGTGACCTCACGGACCAGCCCATGCCAGAGCTCCCTGTCGGCCGTCACCACCCCCCGTTCCTTCAAGGACTACTACTACTACTACTATTTATCTGCGGTATTTAAATCCTGCCTTTCTCAGCCCAAATTGCTGTTGTTGTTACTATTTATTTACAGTATTTATATCCATGAGGTCACGAAGAGTCCGAGACGACTGAACGAATGAACAACAACAAATATCCCACCTTTCTCAGCCTGAATTATTGTTGTTGTTGTTGTTGTTATTAAACACACAGTATTATCTCCTTCACTCACCCTGTGATGAGGTTCCCAACCCAAAACAATAATGCACTAGGACATAAAATCAATGAAATAACTGGTTGGTATATCCAAACAGAAAAGAGGAGCCATTGCACGGAGTTGGGAGGATTTGGGGTGGAAGAAGAAGAAGGCTGGATGTTTCTTTAAAGTACCCTTTCCGGATTTAATTTAATGGGGGGCAAGCAAGAATGGGATCTGGCTACCTAGGAAGTAAACAAGTAAAGCAAGCTGAACTCCAGCTTGCCTTCTTTCTTCCTTCTCCAGCAGCTGCGGGCAGCAAAAGGGGAAGCTGCTGGAGGTAAACAAACAAGGCAGCCGGGAAGAAAAGGAGGGGGAGGAAGAAGAAGAGGAAGAGGGTCATGGCAATATTTGGCTCCCCAATGTTGCAAACACCCTGAGCACCCCTGCCAGGCAAATAGGTGTGGGTTTTATTTCAAATTTCGCCCCTTCAAACCACCGCTGCCACAGTGGCAAGAGAGAAAGGGCAGCAACAACAACAACAGCCCAAAGGATGCCAACTTTCAAGCTGAGATGAAAACAACCCATTGAAGATGGGAGCAGAGGGGCGTTTTCCTCATCACAGAGACACAGTGAGCCAGTAAAATCCACCCCCAACAACCCCCCTTCCAGTATCAGCGTCAGCATTGTTTTTGTTTATTTTTGCCCCTTCTCTCTCTCTCAACCTGAGCTTACATCTGCGGAGCAAAAGACACACTGCAATGCACTAAAGGGTGTGTGTGTATGTAGATCAATATTGTGTGTATAAGTGTGTGTATGTGTATATATATTTATATATATACATGTGTCTGAATGTATACATATGAATTATGTGCATATTTATATGCATGCATGTGGGTGTGTATTAAACACAAACACACACATTATACACATATTCAAGGTGGGTCAAAAGTCACAAAGGTGTCTGAATTTTTGAAGTTTGTTTTGAAAAGATTTTACATGTAATGTAATGTAATTTTATTTCCTAGATATACTTTATATCATACTATGGTGCTGTAAATTAAAAACAAAACAATGACTTCTGGCCCACTCTGTGTGTGTGTGTGTGTACATATAAAGAGACAAGTGTGTGTGTATGTGTATGTATGCATGCGTATGTGTGTGTATACGCATACATCCGTATGTATATATATGTATGAATGAATGTGTGTGCATCATGTGTATATATGTGCATTGTGTATGTGTGTGTATGTATATAAATATCTATGTAATTTTATTTCCTATACATATATATTATATGATGCTAAATTCAAAACAAAAAGTAAAGGAGTTACTAAATATTGAAATCCCTTTGTGACTTTTGACCTATCCTTTATCTCTATAGATGTATGTATAGGCATGCATGCCCATATGTATCTGTGTGTATATGTACATATGACTGTATATATACATCTATGTGTATATGCATGTCTGTGTATATACATATATGCATGTGCCTGTGTATATACTGGCATTGTGTGTAGATACATGTGTATAAAGGCATTCTGTGTATATATGTGTGTATATACATGTGTGAGTGTGTGTGTGTGTGTATATATGCATGTCTGTGCACACACATATATACATTGTATGAATATATGTACATGCATATGTGTTGTATAGATCTATGCATGTTGTGTCTAAAGACAGACGTATATTTATACTCCACTAATACATACATCTATGTGCGTATAGATCTATGCATGTTTGTGTATTAAGGGCATGTGCATATATGTGAGTGTTCATTGTGTGTATATATGTGTGAGTATGTGTATATATGCATTGTGTGTATGTATGTGCATGCCTGTGTGTTTAGATCTATGCATGTTTGTGTCTAAAGGCCACAACCCCAGTGACCTGAGGTTCAGTGAATTTTAATTTGATAGGTTGTAAGTTATCTATGATTTATGTAGGGGCAAGTTATTTATTAAGTTTATGATGTTTTTAATTTCATTTCTTTGACTGTGTATGTTATGTAATGTTTGTTGCTTCCAACTACTGTATGCCCATGGGAGAAAAGTGGTATATAAATAAAGAAATAATGCATGTGTATACAATGCATGTGTGAGATATATATGTGTGTGTGCACACACATTGTATGTATAGATCTATGCATGTTTGTGTCTAAAGACATGCACATACAATGCATGTGCATTGTGTTTGTGTGAGTATATATATATGCATTGTGTTTATGTGCATGCATGCGTGTACAGATCCATGCATGTGTGTGTCTAAAGTGGTGTGCATAAAATGTGTGTGCATTGTGTGTGAGAAATGCATTATATGTATGCTGTTGATGTATGCATGTTTGTGTCTAAAGGTATGTGAATACAATGCATGTGCATTGTGTTTGTGTGAGTATATATACATGCATTGGGTGTATAGTTCTATGTATGTTTGTGTCTAAAGGCATGTACAATGTGCGTGCATTGTGTGAGAATATGTATGTTGGTATATGCATTGTGTTTATGTGCATGTATGTGTGTATATATCCATGTATGTTTGTGTCTAAGGGCATGTGCATACAATGTGTGTGCATTGTGAGTCTATATATATGCATTATATGTATAGATGTATGCATGTTTGTGTCTAAAGGCATGTGAATAATGTGAATACAATGCATGCGCATTGTGTGTTTGCGTTCTGAGTATATATGCATTGTGTGTATAGATCTATGCATGTTTGTGTGCAAAGACATGTGCATACAACACATGTGCATTGTGCATTGTGTTTGTGTGCAGTGTGTATCTATATGCATGCATGCATGTGTATATAGATCTATGCATGCTTGTATCTAAAGGCATGTGCATACAATGTGTGTGCATTGTGTGTGTTTGTGTTCTGAGTATATATGCATTGTGTGTATAGATCTATGCATGTTTGTATCAAAGGCATGTGCATACAATGCATGTGCATTGTGTATGTGCACATTGTTTCTATCTATGTGCATGCATGCATGTGTATATTGCTTGTGTTTCAAGGCACATGCATACAATGCGTGTGCATAGTGTGTGTTTTGTGTTCTGAGTATATATACATTGTGTGTATAGATCTATGCATGTTTGTATCCAAAGGCATGTGCATACAATGCGCGTGCATTGTGTATGTGTGCATTGTTTGTATGTATGTGCATGCATGAATGTGTATATAGCTTATGCCTAAAGACATGTGCATACAATGGGTGTGCACTGTGTTTGTGAGTATATATATAGAGATGCATTGTATCTATGTGCATGCATGCTTGTAGATTGTGTGTTTGTGTGGGTATATTTTATATATATATACACACACACACACACACACACATAGAGGTGCATTGTGTATATGTATGTGCATGCATGTGTGTATAGATCTATGCATGCTTGTGCATTGTGTGTTTGTGTGAGTATATATATATCAGAGAGAGATGCATTGTGTGTATGTATGTGCATGCACGTGTATAGATTTATGCATGTTTGTGCATTGTGTGTGAGTATATATTATTTACAGAGAGAGATATATGCATTGTGTATATGTATGTGCATGCATGTGTGTATCGATCTATACATGCTTGTGCATTGTGTTTGTAAGTATATATATATATATATATATATATATACACACACACACACAGAGAGAGAGGTGCATTGTATGTATGTGCATGCCCGAGTGTATAGATTATGCATGCTTGTGCATTGTGTTTGTGTGAGTATATATATACAGAGAGGGAGATGCATTATATGTATGTGCATGCATGTGTGTATAGATCTATGAATGCTTGTGCATTGTGTTTGTGAGTATATATATATATATATATATATATATACATACATATACAGAGAGATGCATTGTGTGTATGTATGTATGTGCATGCACGTGTATAGATTTATGCATGCTTGYGCATTGTGTGTTTGTGAGTATATATATTTACAGATATATATACATATACACACATATGCATTGGGTATATGTGCATGCATGTATGTATAGATCTATGCATGCTTGTGCAKTGTGTTTTTGAGTATATATATATATCAGAGAGAGATGCATTGTAGGTATGTGCATGCATGTGTGTATAGATCTATGCATGCTTGTGCATTGTGTGTTTGTGTGAGTATATATATATATCAGAGAGAGATGCATTGTGTGCATATCTAAAGAGTATATCTATGAGTATACCTAGAGAGAGAGATGCATTGTGTGTATATGCATGCATGTGTGTATAGAGCTATGCATGCTTGTGCATTGTTTTTGTGAGAGTATATACACAGAGAGAGCGATGCCTTGTGTGTACGTATGTGCATGCATGTTTGTGTCTAAAGGTGCATGCATATATACAGAAAAGCATGCCTCTGTGTCTGTGTGTGTGTGTGTGTGTGTGTGTGTACACACCCATCTCCAAGCATCTAGGCCTTTCCCCCAAAGCTTTGCATCCAGCCCTCCTCCTGGACAATGAATGCACCAAAGGGACACCAAAATAGGAAGGGAGGGAGCCAAAGGAATCACCCCGAGGGAGGGAGGGAGGCCCGGGCCCACTTACATGCCGCCGAGGAAGGAGGAGAAGAGGAGCCGAGGCCTAGGAACGAAGGAAGGAAGGAAGGAGGGAGGGAAGGAAGGAAGGAAGGAAGGGCTGCAGCCTCCTCCTCCTCCTCCTCCTCTTCGTCCTTTCCTTCTGCTGCTGCTGCAGTTGCGGCTCCGGCGCGAGGGATCAGCCCATGGAGAGCAGAGCAGAGCAGAGCAGGCAAGAGAGGGAGGCAGCAATGGAAAGAGGCGCGCGCTGCGGGTCTCTGCTGCTGCTGCTGCCGCTCTTCTCCTCCTTCTCGTTGCCTCTGCCGCCTTGGCTCCTGCGGCGGATCCCAGTTCCTCCCGCTTCCCTCCTTTGACTCACTCGCGCCCTGGGTGAGTGTGTCTGCGTGTCTCCCTCTTCCACCCGCCCCCCGACGGCGTCCGCGGGGTCCTAATGCCCGCCGCTTCTTTCCTCCTCTTATTCCCATCCTTGTTTGTTTTTTAATTACAATCCTTTCATTTTTCTTATTTTCACATTAAATAAAAACAAAAACCCTTTTAAGAATATTTTATATTTAGTTTTTATTTTATTTTATGATTTTCTAAATACTTTGATATTAGGATACTATTTTTTATTACAATACCTTTGTTTTTTTCTTATTTTTCTCTTTTTTCCCATCTTTTTAAAATTACAATCCTTTCGTCTTTCTTATTTACACTTTAAATAAAAACAAAAATGCTTTTAAGAATATTTTATATTTAGGTTTATTTTATTATTTTCTAAATTTCTTTTATATTAGGATACTATTATTTATTACAATACTTTAGTTTTTTCTTATTTTTCTCTTTTTCCCATCTTTTTAAAATTAAAATCCCTTGGTTGCTCTTATTTTCACTTTAAAAAAAAACACTTTTAGGAATATTTTGTATTTAGTTTTTTTATTTTATGATTTTCTAAATACTTTTATATTAGGATACTATTTTTATTACAAAACCTTTGTTTGTTTTTTTTGTTTTTTTCTCTTTTTCCCATCTTTTAAAATTACAATCCTTTCATTTCTTATTTTCACATTTAAAAAAGAACTCTTTTAAGAATATTTTATATTTAGTTTTTTATTTTATGATTTTCTATATACTTTTATATTAGAATCTGTTCTGTTCATTCGTTCAGTCGTCTCCAACTCTTCATGACCTCATGGACCAGCCCACACCAGAGCTCCCTGTCGGCCGTCACCACCCCCAGCTCCTTCAAGGTCAGTCCAGTCACTTCAAGGATGCCATCCATCCATCTTGCCCTTGGTCGGCCCCTCTTCCTTTTGCCTTCCACTTTCCCCAGCATAATTGTCTTCTCTAGGCTTTGCTGTCTCCTCATGATGTGGCCAAAGTACTTCAACTTTGTCTCTAGTATCCTTCCCTCCAGTGAGCAGCCGGGCTTTATTTCCTGGAGGATGGACTGGTTGGATCTTCTCACAGTCCACGGCACTCTCAGAACTTTCCTCCAACACCACAGTTCAAAAGCATCGATCTTCCTTCGCTCAGCTTTCCCTAAGGTCCAGCTCTCACATCCGTAGGTGACTACAGGGAATACCATGGCTTTGACTAGGCGGATCTTTGTTGCCAGTCTGATGTCTCTACTCTTCACTATTTTATCGAGATTGGACATTGCTCTCCTCCCAAGAAGTAAGCGTCTTCTGATTTCCTGGCCACAGTCTGCATCTGCAGTAATCTTTGCACCTAGAAATACAAAGTCTGTCACGGCCTCCACATTTTCTCCCTCTATTTTCCAGTTGTCAATCATTCTTGTTGCCATAATCTTGGTTTTTTTGATTGTTTAGCTGCAACCCGGCTTTTGCGCTTTCTTCTTTCACCTTGATTAGAAGGCTCCTCAGCTCCTCCTCGCTTTCGGCCATCAGAGTGGTGTCATCTGCATATCTGAGGTTGTTAATGTTTCTTCAAGCAACTTTGTAATGCTTTTATTTTTATTATGATGCTTATATGTTAGGATATGTTATATGTTAGGATACTTTTTAAGCTTTCTTTTTGAATTTATAATATTTTCTTTGTTCTTCTTATTGTTATTGGAATACTTTTATGCTTATTATAATTTTTGTTTATTATGTTTAGTTTTTATTTTATTTTTTATTTTATGATACTTCTATATTAGGATACTTTTATATTGGGATATTAGGGTACTTTTATTTTATTAACTTTACAATCCTTTTATTTTCATTGTTCTTATTTTTATTGGAATAATTTTACTTTTATGATAATATTTTATTTATTATCTTTAGTTTTTGTCTTTCATTTAATAATACTTTTATTTTTATGATGATACTTAATTAAGTTTTAAGTTATTTAAGTTTTATTTTTGGTCAATTTTTATTTAGTATTAAGTTTATAGTTACGCTGTCTTATATTGTTTGATGTATCCTGTTTTGATGTAATCTGTTTTTATGTCTTTTTATTGGCATTCAGTATTTGCTATATATGCTGGAAACCTCCCTGAATTCCTTCAGGGAGAGAGGGCAGTCTACAAATAAAGGTATTATTATTATTATTATTACTACTACTATTACTTTTATATTAGAATGCTTTCATTTTGATCTTCATGTTGTTTTTGGTTTATTATATATTATATATTTTATTATATATTTTGTTTTATTATATATTTATTTTTATCTTTATGCTGCTTTCATTTTTATTCCAGTACTTTAAATTTCATTTTTTCTATTGATATAATACTTCTGGTTTTGTTATATTTTATATTTTGTTTTTTTATTTATACTTTTTCATTTTTCTTATTTTTATACAAATGCATTTAGTTTTATTATAATGTTTTACACTGAGTATCTGTTTGATTTTTTAATTTAAAAATATTTTTATAGTTTGTCTTAGGATACTTTCATTTTTAATCTTTATTTTATACTTTTTGTATTATTTTATTTTTTTATTATTATCCTTCTTATTTTTATTATTATACTTGTTTTCATTGATTGACTTACATACTTTGATATTGTCCAGCCTTGCTCCCAATTTAGGGACTCAAAGCTGCAGATAGCAAACATGACACAATGCAATTATTTTTATTACATTATATTATTTTATGTGACTGGCTTGACCTTGAAGGAGCTGGGGGTGGCCACAGCCATCAGGGAGCTCTGGCGTGGGCTGGTCCATGAGGTCACAAAGAGTCAGAAGTGACTGAACGAATAAACAACAACAATGATTTTAAAAATTATTTTGTGACACTATTATTTTTATATTTATTATATTTTTATTTTATTATACTTTTATCTGTTATTATTATTGCGCCAACTCCACTGGCTGCCGACTTGCTACCGGGCTCAATTCAAAGTGCTGGTGTTGACCTTTAAAGCCCTAAACGGTTCTGGCCCAAGCTACCTTTCCGACCGCATCTCAGCCTATGAATCCACCAGGACTTTGAGATCTTCCGGGGAGGCCCTGCTCTCGATCCCGCCAGCTTCACAAGCACGGCTGGCGGGGACGAGAGACAGAGCCTTCTCGGTGGTGGCCCCCCGGCTGTGGAGCGCCCTTCCCACAGATATTAGATTAGCACCATCTCTAATGGTCTTCCGCAAAAAAGTAAAGACCTGGTTATTTGTGCAGGCTTTCGAATAATTAGTGCAAGACTGGTAATGACATAGGAATGGAACAATGGATAACGAATTTGGATCATGTTTTTAGTGACGAGACGCTAGTGAATGGTTATCATAGTAATCGTGTATTAATTGTGTATTAGATTAGGGTATTAATTGTTTATATTGGTGTTTGAATTCTGCTGTGTCCTGTGTCTTGTGAACCGTTGTGAGTCGCCTTCGGGCTGAGAACAGCGGTATAGAAGCAAAGTAAATAAATAAATAAATAAATTATTTTTATTGTGATACTTTTATTTATTTGCTTTTTTACTTACTTTGGTTGAAGCATCTTCCGCAGAGTCCACTGCAAACTCTGCACAACCAATCTGTGTAAATGTCTAAAACAGCCACTAGGTGGCATTCAGAAACCTTTTACTGTTGCCACATTTTTCATCACCCCATTTAGTTGGGATCAGGACCCACAGTTTAAGAAGCATTGGTCTAGAACAGGGGTCCTTAAACTTTTTAAAAAGAGGGCCAGGTCACACTCCCTCAAACTATTGGAGGGCCGGATTATAATTTGAAAAAAACTTGAATGAATTCCTATGCACAGTGCACATATCTTATTTGTAGTGCAAAAACACTTAAAAACAATACAATAATTAAAATGAAGAACAATTTCAACAAATATAAACTTACTAGCTGTCCCCTGCCACGCGTTGCTGTGGCCCAGTCTGTTGATCTGGAAAATAAAGTAATGAGAAAGTGTTGGTTTCTAATATATGTAATTTCTTTATGCTTGTAGGTAAACAGTATTTCTTGCTGTTTCTTTGTCAGTGTTGATGTGGAGAGATTCTGGTTTGCCTACTCTGGAACATGCAACATATCATTGTCCTTCTTTAAGGGTCCCTTTCAAATCTATGATACTATATCTGTGTGTGTGTGAATCATCTCTCTATCTTATCTATCTATCTATTTATATCGATGGCTGGATGGCTCTTTGTCAGGAGGACTTTGATTACGTTTTCTTGCCCTGGTGAAGCGGAGTTGGATTGGGTGGCCTTAAGTATTTTCTGTTGGTCGTAGGTGTTCTCTGTGGTAAGTTTGCCCTAATTATGTCGTTTGTGGGGTTCAGAATGCTCTTTGGTTGTAGGTGAACTGTGAATCCCAGTGGCTGCAACTCCCAAATGTCAAGGTCTATTTTCCCCAAACTCCATCTGTGTTCATATTTGAGTGTATTGAGTGCTTGTGCCAAGTTTAGTCCAGATCTATCATCGTTTGAGTCCACAGTGCTCTCTGGATGTAGGTGAACTAAAACTCCCAAACTCAAGGTCAATGCCCACCAAACCCTTCCAGTATTTTCTCTTGGTCATGGGAGTTCTGTGTGCCAAGTTTGGTTCAATTCCATCATTGATGGAGTTCAGAGTGCTCTTTGATTATAGGTGAACTATAAATTCCAGCAACTACAACTCCCAGATGACAAAATCATAATTTTTTGAGTGATGGTCACTCCTTGTGTTGTGAGACGTTTTGTTGCCAAATTTGGTGTGATTTCGTTCATTCGTTCTTTTGTTTTTAAGGTACTCATTATGCACAGAGCATTTATATATATATATTAGTATTTCAATGGGAAGTATGGACCTGCTTTTGGCTGATGAGATAGGGTTGTTGTTGTTTGCTTTCAAGTCATCTCAGACTTAGGTTGGCCCTGAGCGAGGGCCAGGTAAATTACCTTGGAGGGCCGTATCCGGCCCTGGGCCTTAGTTTGAGGACCCCTGGTCTAGAAGTTCCTTCTAATGTACAATTGCAACCTATAACTTCAAACTCTT